GTCATTTTGCAAGGTTAACAAGTTTGGGAGCTTCTCACATTGAAATCCCTCTCTCTCTACAAATTTTCAGAGTCGAAAATTCTTTAACTCTCTATAATTCTCTCTCTCTCTGTCTCTCTCTCTCTCTCTCTCTATTGTGCTATATTGTGCTTGAAAGTGGTTTTTCTTGACATATTTGTATACAACCCCTTAACCAAACAGCCCTATCTTGGAGCTGAGGTTACTTAAGGCTTGTTTGGAGTTCTTTAAGGCTGGTTTTGGCTTAGAAAGCTACCATCTTGATGTTGTGCTTCAAGGGTAAGCTTCTTCCCCTTTTAAGCTTATTTTTGTACATTCTCTTGACCACCTTTGCATGTTGTTTTAGGCCTACTTGTCAACTACAAAAACCTCTATTTCGACGTGTTTAAAATGGGGGGTTTGAGATCCTTTGGGAATTAAGGGTGGTCCACCCTCTTTTGTAGCTTATTCGCTAAGCTTTGTGCCATCTTTCAAAGCTTTTGAAGCCATCTCTTTTTGGCCCTTTAACCACTGAATTCCAGAGAAATTTCTATGGGGGAAAGATGGTTTTAAGTTTAAAAATTGGGGGGGGGGGGGAGGCCTTATTTTGACCTGCTTTAACTCTGTTTTTAGTTGGTTGGGTCACTTGTGGCTTGATTTTGGTACTTGTAGTGCAACCATGCTTACAAGCCTAGCATATTTGATGATTTAGCCTATCGATCTATCTTTTGTTCTCTTAGCTCCAATACATTTTTGCTAATATTTTGGCATGTTTAAGCTTTGTTTTGAGACGGTTTGATCACTCGAGCTTTGCTTTGTATGCTTGTAGTACAATTGTGCTAAATTGCCTATCAGGTGCTGTTGTTTTGGCCTCTAAGTATAGCCTTTCTTGACTTGTTTCAAGCATGTTTTAGAACTCCATTTATGCAATTTTAGGACTATTTTGGGTTGTTTTGGTCATATGGCTCATGTATTACATAGCTATAGTGCAAGTGCCTTGACTAGCTTTGTGTTTTAGGGCCTCTAGCATGCTTTTCTTCTTTTGTTTGCATGATATAGCATCATTTTTTAGGTGATTTCAGAGAATATATCACTGTCATACTCTCACATATATCACACTTTAATTGCGTTTGAGAGTTGAGCCTTATGCCTTGTTTATGAGCCAATACATGAGCATGTTTTTCTTACTTTTCATGCTACCATCTCAGCTCATTTCAGCCACTGTTTTGGCATGTTTAAGCTCTGTCCAGAGCTAGTTTGGTCCTTTGTTCTTGATATTGCACGTTTCTCGTGTAATGCACTTCATCAGTTTTTTATGCTTAAGTCTCCTAACATGTTGTGCATTTGTTGATTGCATGATTTAGTGTCTTTAGCATGCCATATCAGCACTGAATATCTACAATCTTCCTCTATGCTTCACTTTTGAATTTGATTTTGAAAGTGGTCTTAAGCCCTTGTTGGCTTAAACATGGAATTGACGCTCTCATGCCTAACGGTTTTAACCTTCTCTTGAGGGTTTGTACAAACCAACAGCATGAGGCTTCTTTCATGCTTAAGGTCCTTGTGGCTGAGGCCGTCTTTCCAATTAGAGGACTTTTCACATTGGACTTAACCGGTTGATGAATGGCTTGGTAATGTAAAAGGAGTAAACAAGAATTGAACCAAGTAAAACATGCCAAGATAAACATGTTGCATGTGTGCATTGCATTGTGTTCAATCGGACATTACATTGAACACATGGTGAATTGGTCCATTTCGTACTCAAAGTGATGAAAATAGGCCAATTCCCTTTGTCTTCGTTGCCTTTGATCATCCTTGATAAGGTGATGGCCCTAGAGTCTTGTTTGTCCTGCATTTAGTGAATTTGTGCAAGTTGAATCCTTGGCTATCATGCATTGCATGCTTGATTGATGGTTTTGGATCCAATGGTGGCACTCCCTTGATGTTTTGAGATGATAAGGAGTGGCACAGTACATACATGCCCTAGGGAGACCCTCCATTTCCTCTGTTTTGTGCTCTGTTGCAGTTTGATGTCACAGCACACCAATGGCCGGCAGTGCCACACTGATGGCGGACACCCTTGCATTGTTGGCTGGCAGAGGCCCACTTTTGGCCGGTAGATGGCCAGCAGCAACTCCTCATGGCTAGCAGGCCACTGGTGCACTCCCCAGCATTGGTTTGGTAAGTTTCAGTAGCAAGTTCTTGAAGACACCCTCGAAACAGAGCCTCTAAAGAGCAGACCGGAAGGCTTTTCGGGGAGAGAAACCGAATAAGTGCATGCATGTGTATGACAAATCTCGAAAATGCTCACAAGTAAGCCTAAAATATGATGCAAAAATAACCCTAAAAGAGAGATAGAGGATAAGGGGAAGTAGATGACCTCAAAAAGCAAAGTGACCTTAAACAAAGTTGAATAGGTGGTCAAAATAAGACACTTTGTAGTTTTTGTCGGAGCCAAAAAATTCTTGAAAATAAGGCTAATATATCATGCAAAATAAGCCCTAAAAGAGAGATAAAGCATACATGGGGGTAGGAGACCTCAAACAGAAAAGTACTCTTAAACAAACATGAAGAGGAGCTCAAAATAAGACAATTTTAATTTTACACCAAGGCTCGAAAATGCTTGCAAATGGAGCTAAGGTATAGAGCAAAATAATGCAAAAATGGGGGAAATGAGGACTTACCCATGCAGAGAAGACCTCCAGCGACTTCTGGACCAAGATGGTGAGCCTTCAACCTCTGCAAATCAGTCCCAAGGTGCTGGAATGGATGGAGGAGGTGTGGTGCAAAGGTTTGTAGTGCAAATGGTGCAAGAATATTAGGGTTTGGAGCTTTGGAGAAGAAGGTTATGGAGGGTGGAGTATATGTGCCTTGGCCAAAATGTCTAACCTTTGCAAATGAAGAGGAGGGCCTCTCTTATAGAGAAGAGAGGCCAAAGATTCTCTTGGAAGCTTCAAAGATCCTCCATACACGTGTATGGAGGATGCACGAAATGCCCCCCAGCTGGCACAGCTGTAAAGTATTCAGAGAGGGCAAAAAGCAAGAAGTAGGCCGACCAGTTCAAGTGGCCGGTCAGCCACTCCCCCTGGTCGGCCGACCAGGGGTCAAAAGGTTCAAGCAAAGTTGCTGGTCGGCCTACCCAGAAAGGTGGCCTCCCAGATGAGTAGAACACAGCCCTGTGGTGAAAAACCAGAAAATGTGATCCAGGAGAGAGAAAAGTGAGCTTTTTAGCAAGGGTCAAAAGGGTCAAGCAGAATTACTGGTCGCCCTACCCATTTTGGTGGCCTCCCAGATGAGCACACCACAATGGTGGTATGAAAAGCCAGAAATTGTGGCTCAAAAGTGTGAAAAATTAGCTTTCTGTTAGAAAAACCAGCTTTTGAGAGAGAGAAAATGAGAAAACTGGTTTTTCAGGAGAAAAGGTGGCCGGTCACCATACCACCCCCTCCCTAACAGTGAAAATAGGGTCCCTACTAAAAATGGACCAAGACGGATGCAAAACGAAGGTTCGGGGGCCAAAACGCACAGTCTGGGCCCCCGAAAACAGGCTGTTAGGCACCGGAAGTGGCGTATGACCACGAAGGTGGTCTCTCGGGTCACAGTGTCCCTCAAAAGGGAGGAAATAAGGTGTGTGCCAAAAAATGGAGCAAACGGAGGTAGTTAAGAGGTCCCGAACCAAGGCACACGACCGACGGCTCTGAAAACCGGAAACCGGGCTCCAAATGGGAAAAATGGCCTACGACCGCGAAACGTAGCCTACGGCCACCGAGAGATGGTCTACGAGACCTCTCCCTCCCTTCGGGAAGTGAAAACGGAGAAAACAGGACCTGGTTCGCAAACTGAGGCAAAGCACAAAAGAGCCCCGAAGTTCGGAGGCAAGGCTTGCATCCGAGACTCTGAAGCCTCAGAATGAGCACAACATGCAACATCACCGAGCGCTCAACTGGTGACGTCTGAGTCTTAAGGTCGGTCAAAAATGGGGTGTTTATAGGTTTCCATATTACCATGATTCGCATGCTTGCCATGAGGTTATGTGCTTACTTGATAAACTACATGAATGCCTTTAGATGAAGGCTTGTTAGTTTAATTGGAATAGTTCAATGAATGTATGTTTTAAGCCCACTTTGCGAAGTGAAAAATCATGTTTTAAGCCCATCATGTTTGATGGCAAATCTGTGTTTTAGCACACTTGAGGGTGGCAACTTCAAATCATTTTCGAAGACAAACATGAGTTGAATTCGTTCTAATTCTTGTGATTTTAGTCTATACTTGTATGTGTGCATCACAGAGTAATGTTAGCTAATAACCGAAACAAGAACACATAATGTTTATAAAAGAACATATCATGATTAGTAGAGGTCGATCTTTCATCGGGCGAGCGAGGGTGCTCATTTCAGGACCTTCCCCTCTCGTACCCAAGTTGCTGAGCCGAGGCAACTTTGGTGATGACAGACACGCGGCCTTTGGCATGGGTCAGGGTTTCCTAAATTTCCCAAAACAAAATATTTAGGTGGCGAGTCTGTAATCTGGCAAAGCAGTCTAACTTTGGCATTATTTGATTCAAAATCTGATTTTCCAAAATGATTTGCTGGATTGGACTCTTTGGTGTTTATCAGTTTCACATTGCACTTTGTGAAATTAGATTCAAAATCGTGACAGAGTTCGAACTGTATGACCAATTCGAGCTCTACGAAGGGGAACGCGAAAAAGTCGAGCTACCAACAAAGTAAAGTTAGTTTAATAACCGGAACAAGAGCATATAATGTAAATAAGAATCACATCATGATTAGTAGAGGCCGATCTTTGATCAGGCGAGTGGGGTGTTCAATTCATGGCTTTCGCCTCTCGTACCTAAGTTCCCGAACCAATACACTTTGGTAACGACGGACAAATGGCCTTTGGCACGAGTCTCGGGTTTCCTAAATTTCCAAAAACAAAATATTCAGGTGGCGACTCTGTAAATCTGGCAAAGCAGTCTATTTTTGGTATTTGAGTTAAAACATCTATTTGAATTTGAATATTTTCCACAATGCTTCTGGAGCACAAACCCATCTTCCATCTATGAACTGTTGTACTTCGTCATAATTAGGACCTTGACGAACTTCTAGTGCAACACGGCCAGGGCCTTTATAAACATATTTGTATAAATACTTCACACTTGTAACACTACTGCAAATTTCAAGATTGATATGACAATCATATTTCAAGAGCAACCATGGGTTGTATGGAATGACCCAACTATTATCCACCAAGACGCTTGGGTTACTCTCTAAAGGAACTGACTCCCCTTCTCTTCTTCAATAAACAGGATATGAATCGTTTCCAAGTGTAGTAATGGAAAAAATGGCTTTGGGAAACGTCTTTTGCACCGGCCATTTGTCATCCACGGAGACCGTTCATTGTACATTCCACATGGGCCATGTATCATGTGTTTGAGAACTACACCGTATAATCTAGGCTTTAATCTCTTGTTTGGAATTTCAGCTCTGACAATGTTATCATAATCGTCAGGAGTGCGTAACTTATCATTTTCTTCCAAAATAATGACCATGTGGGCATGTGGTAACCCTCTTTTTTGGTACTTAATAACATATGCATATGCTAGAACCTTCCCGAGTACATGTTTTCTAAGAATGTCGGTCTTCATCTCATCAAATTTCGAATGAAATATTCTTGTTAGCAAATCAGGACGATCATGCGGTGACTGTCCAGGTAGCAACTCAGCTTTAATTTCAGGCCAATTTGGATTGCAGGTCATTGTAAGGGAAAGATCAGGTTTTCCATACTTTTGGACCAGAGCCATTGCATCTTGATATCGCTGATACATGTCTCGTGGGCTACCAACAAATGATGATGGCAATATTGTTCTACGACCAACGTTACCTAAACAAATATTTCACAAAAGAAAAATATATATATATGTATCAATATAAACAAACATGTGTACATGTAACTGTAATGCCGTATGTGACAATTTGTACCTCCATAATTTTCACCAGCATGTACTGCATCTAGAAGACCTTGATAAAAATTTGCTCGAATGTGATTCTGATGAGTACGTATCCATCTTAATTTGTTGGACTCAATCCTCACGTAATTATCTATGATGTACTACTGTAAGAGGCGACCTCCTCAAAGAAAAACAGATTGATGATAGCATTTGAATACTTATAAATAAGTAAAAGTAAAGATTTTATACGAAATAATTATACATTAAATAACTTCGACGAAGTAAATTTTTAATATTATGTGTACGTCGTTACCTGTAGCATATAAGAATAGAAATAACAACATGTTACTTTTCTGCCATCATTACTTTTGGTATTTGCATCCCATCCATATGAACCATAGGGTAACAACAAAGGATACTGTAATGGATCATAGTATCTGACAATATCAGAAATATTTAGGAGATGACCACTGGTTGATTGGACAATGATATCTCTTGGTTTTAAATTTCCAGCTTCTTCGCCACCTACTAAAATGGCAGCAACTTCAGGAGCAGTAGAAAGGTTGCATTGGGGCCTATTACGTGGTTGCTCTTTGATTTGAAGTCTGCATTCATGTATGTCTGGACGCTAAGCCAATTGGCGAAACGTGTGTACAAATGGATTTTGAGCATTTAAAATATTCTTTATCTTGTCAAGCAAATCCAAGTGCAATTCTTTATTTTCAGACATTAGATTCTCATTCTCGTGGTTAGTGTCATAAACATACAGTTGCAAATATCTCGGTCTGTTGATAGAATTTGGTAAGAGACTCCCAATCTTATGATCTATGGCTCCTTGTGCACGAAACGTGTACACACCTCGAGTTCTTGTTGCTAAGTTTTCATCAACATGAACACCCATTGAATTGAATGAGAAAACATGATTGAAGGCTCGAATATGTTGTCTGAAATGACGACCCTCCACTGTTTGGTTAGAGAAAATATCAATCATCTCATTTGGAGTTGTTACTGGTGGCAAAACAATTGTTCCATTATTACAACACCTGGTAGATGTTTCATGATGGAACAATCTTGCGTTGCAATGTGTACATGCAGTTGGAGCAGGGAACTGCATTCTTTGGAACCTTTCACTTTCATGAAAATTTTTTGCACAATTGTGATACCTCCTACTGATAAATGATAGATTATCTAGAATGTCTTCATCACTTAAAGCATCCTGATTGTGGTCAACATGAGGGATATTTTCTATGCCAATACATGTATGATGTATTGGTTTATTAGTAACACAATAATATTTATTTGAAAGTGTTTGAGTTGCATGTTCAGTATTAAATGTAATTGTATTGCATATCATATTTTCATGTTCATCTTTTTTACATTTATTGTAAAGGTTGTTTGTTTTGTAAAAGTACTTAAACTAAAGAACTTATTTTTACCTTCCATCTGAACTTCACGAGGATCACCTTGTCTATTGCCACTTGTGCTTCCATGCCCATAAGTCGAATGAGTATGTGCATATCGGGGTAAGTCGATACGTGAGAGTAAACTCATTCTACTTTCCTGTCTAAAAACACTAGTCGCAACCAAATTGCTTTCTTCGTGAATGGTTGGCAAAACTGTTGCTTGCGGCCTACGCCATCCTGCTCTATTTCTTCTTGAGATTGCATCGAAAAAGTTTAACGTAGATCCTAACAGTTAAAATTTTAAATAATAAATTAATTGAATATTAATGTCGAACTTAGAAGTGTAAAAGCTTACAAAAATAATAATGTTTATAACATTTGAATACACCTACTTGTTTGTGCATTTGTCACATTATGTACTTGATCTGGATGAGCAGTTTGTTTGAGATTTTTAGATATTTGCCTTCTTTGTCGATAATTTGTTCGTCGCCTTGCTAGTTGTTGTTCGCATTGTTCAGTAATAATGTTTATAACATTTGAATACCTCCTTTATCTGGCATAATTACGCCAACTTTCCCTTTGAATTTCTCTTTGTTGGACATTAGAGCTTGCACTTTGTTCACGAATAAACAATCTTTGCCTGCGCTGAGCAAGGCGACGTTGCTCCAATCTTGCTGAGCATTGTTTAGTGCTTAAGTTTTGAAGGCGTAAATGTTCGAATTCTCTTTGTGGTTGTTCAGTTTGAGCATTTGGTTCTGAAGTTGAACGTTGCCTCCTCTGTTGTAGGTATAAACGACTTTGTTCATGATTTTGTTGTTGTGCATGTCTCAAATTTGATGTGTCAGGGTAATCGTGATTCATTTTTCCTAAGATTGTTAGCAAGCTGACACTTATGTAGATGAAATCTGGCTATCTTTAAAATGTGCCTACATTATATAAAATTATGTAAGAGGCAGTAATAATATATTATGAGATTGTTAACTGCAACGCAACTCGTATACTCACAATATAATAAGCTTTATCTTTTTATGTAAGTGTTTTCATAAAGTCCCTTATCAGATTTTTGTAATGCATATTAATTTAAGTACTAATCTCATTTTGTGGAGAATTAAATAAAATTGCAAGTGAAAGAGATTACCTCGTAATGATGAGCCAAAGCGTGTGCAACTTCAGAGATAATTTAAAAACAAACTGAATATAAATTTTTCAAACATTCAGTCAACTATAAAAAAAAAATATTTAAAAATACTTACAATCAAAAGAGAAGTAGAAAATAAAACACGACTGCAAAAGTTATTTATTCAGACTATCACAAACTCATTACGTAATAAATATACAAAAATCATATGAAATTTTGGGAGTACTGAATTATTTGTTACCCAAAAAATACACTTCAAAACAAACATATGAATAAACACAGGGTTTTTTATTATAATAGTTACAATAAAAAAGATTAGATATAAATGAAGGAAAATAAGAAAAAACTTTTTAAAAATTCAAAAAAAAAATTAAAAAAAAAACTGATAGCACAACGAAACATTTCATTTTCTATAAAAAAATTTTTGTTTTTTTGTTTGTTTGTTTGTTTGTTTTTTTTTTTTTTTTTTATAGAAAGTATAATTAACAATATTACCGGGAAAAAAATATAACACAAAATAATGTATGATTTAGGTGTTCATATTTTGGTTTCTCAAGTTTCAAGCATAAATCCAACACTCATGTAGAATCTTTGCGGTCAAAATAGATAAGTGTAGACACCTTGCTTGGAAGTATATATCAATCAATTATCACTTTAGAGACCTATAACTTTCTTTCAATTTTGGCCATCCATGGATGTGTTAAAATTTCATCAGATTTGGCCAAACTTTGTATAATTTTAACTAAAAAATTATACAACAAAAATTTATATAAATAAATTAAAATAAAAAATTACATACAAATCAAAATATAAATATAACTAAAAATAAAAATAGAATAAAAAAATTACATATTTAATTTCTTTCAAGCACATATATACATATCAAAAAATTACATATTTGATTTTTTCAAACATAGAAAAAGAAATTATATATTTGAAGCATTACAAACTGAAGCAATAGAATACTTACAGTCAGAGCAATTAGGTGTCGATAGAGAATAATCCGAAAAGTTTATTCTGAACAACACAATGTTATAAAGCAACCTGCCAAACATATAAACAAAGGAAAATAATATATAGTCAGTTTTTCTCTCCAAGAAATCGATTAACATACTTTTTTTCTTTTACTTTTTAATGAAGAAAATAAAAAGTGTAAGTAATAATGGTACACACATAATAACAAAACAGGACCCATATTCTTGGAACACTTGCAGTAAAAAATAAATAATAAACCCCCAAAAAAAAAGAGTATTATTTTTTTATAATTTTTTTGAAATAAAACAATTTTTATGAACATTGAATTATTTTTAAGAAAAACACACACACAAAATTAAGCAATCAAACAACCTAATTTTTTGAAAACATAAATTGTAAACACACAAATATAAATGTTGATATCAAAATTGAGACCCCTCTCTGCAACCATATTTGACCCCTCTTTGTAACATGAGACCGGAGAATATGCTCCATATTGTCATAAAATCTAAATTGATAACCACTTGCATAAAATCTCCGGTCTCATGTTACCAAAATTCTTTCATCTTCACCCCTCTCTCTATTTACTATAAAATCTTTCCTTTTATTTGTTCAATGATTTTTTTTTCTTTTTTGTTGGGAGAAATACTATTCAAGAACATTGCAATCTTATGATTCTCTTTATCCGAAATATATATCTACTACTTATCCTACATTGTAAGTGTAGTATTGTTAATTATATTTTTATTTTCTTCAATAAAAAGTTTCATTATGTAATTAGGTTCCGTGGAGAAAAAAATATAGTGATTGAGAACACTATTATGTATTTTTTTTCTTCATTAAAAAGTTTCATTGTGTGTGTTTTTGGAAAAAAAAAAAAAAATCAGTGCTCATAATTGTGTGTGCGTTTTTGAAAAAAAATCAGTATTTTCTGTATTTTCATTAAATTAATTTTTTGGTTCTTAATATTTATATATGTTTTTAATTAAACAGTTTGACACCTATGTGCAATTTTTTAGAGACTTAAATAGTTTTGGATTTTTTCCTCTTTGACTTTTTAAGCTATTGTTTCTTTTTGTGTATAAATTCAAGTTTTTTATAATTTGATTTGTTTGTTTGTTTACTTTTGTGAGAGCACTATTATGTATTTTTTTTCTTCATTAAAAAGTTTCATTGTGTGTGTGTTTTGAAAAAAATAAAAAAATAAAAAAATGAAAAAAAAAATTATGTGTGCCTAATTTTGTGAGTGTGTATTTTTGGAAAGAAAAAAATCAGTGTTTTTTGTATTTTCATTAAATTAATTTTTAGGTTCTTAATTCATATTTATGTAGGCTTCTTTGAATAATTTGGCACCATGACGT